GGGGAGGACGTGGTCACTGTCCTGAGACCACGGAGGGGGGAGGACGTGGTCACTGTCCTGTGACCACGGTGGGGGGGACGCGGTCGGCGTCCTGAGACCACGAGGGGGGGACGCGGTCAGCGTCCTATGACCACGGAGGGGGGGGCACGCGGACGGGGTGCTGCCGTCGGCCGGGGACCCGCGCTCGCCCTCCGACGCCGTGGACGCCGTGGGCCGGGACCCCCCTCGTGGGCCGGGCAACGCCCCGCGTTGCCCCTGGACTGACAGGCACCCCGTCCACCCCGCCCGGCCCCGCGCTCACCCGCGATGCCGTAGTGCTGCGCCGCGGCGCAGGCCACGCGGCCCGGCAGGTACGGGGAGAACTCGGCCGCGTAGCCGTGCCGGCCCGGCACCCGCAGCGTCCGCGCCGCCGCGCTCATCCCGCCGCCCGAGTCCGGGCAGCTCGGGGCCGTTCGGGGCCGGCCGGCCCCACCCGCCCTGAAGCGTTCGGGACCCGGAAGGCGAGGCGGAAGTGAGGATCCGGGCCCCGGAGGCTGCGCTTGGACTCCGATTGGTTCGCGAAGGAAAGAGCCCCGAATGCTGGGCTCCGATTGGTCTGCGAAGGAAAGGGCGTGACTCCTACAGAGGCCATTTTTGTTTTGGGCAAAAGAAACAAGTGGCGCCCCTGCGGTGGGTGAGACTTGAGGCAGTGATTCCAGGCTAGGAGGTGATTCCGACAGCTGCTGTTTCTGCACGTCAGCCTCCACCGCGGGGCTGTCTGCTGTTTAGTAAGTCCCGGGGCTCTGAAAGACTGCCATCGGGAAATGCTCCGACCATTACAAAGGAGACAAGCTGCAGCCGACCCTGAAACCCTGCGGCGGTCCAGAGGCCGCGGGGTGCTGTGCTGCCCCAGGTAAAGAATCAGAGCAGCGATGAATCGGGCGGAGAGAGGCGGGGGAAAGACATCAGAAGCAACTTTTTGATTTTCTTTTTAATGCTCGCTACATATATTGTATAGTAATAAGTGCTCAGAAGCGGGCTAATTAAGGGCTCATTCATTCATTCGAACGTTTAGCAACGTGTACTATATGCGAGGCGACCACATGTAATTTATCTACCAAACAAGACACTTTGGGGAGTGAAAGAGGGTGCGGTTAATAATTAAGCCTGGTCAACAGGCACAAACTTAGTCATGTGGTCAGCTTAACTGACACCAAGTACAGTGCTGGGCACTTGGGATTCAAAGGCAGTAGGATATAGTCCATGCCCTCAAGAGATTAGTCTAGTAGACATGTCATCGGTTAAGTGTAATCAAATACTGTAGGTGCAACGAGAAATGTATATGGGGTATTAAAAAAGGAAATTGTCAGTGTTGGAGGGTGGGGGGATAAGAAGAAAAGCTTCAGAAAGGAGTAATGTTTGTGGTGAGTAAATGATGATGAGGTTTCCTTTAAATAGACAAGGAGATGGAGGCCATTGTAGGAGCAGAAATAACATGAGCAACCCAAGAGACCTAAAATAGCATGATCCATCGGAGATGGTGGCTGCAGGACTCAGCCTGTGCAGGTGAAAGGGGTGTGGTGAAGAGTATTGGGTGGAGGGACTAGAGTGTTGTGTTGGGGCTGGATCATGAACACTCTTGTGTGCCATACCAAGGGAATTGGATTTCTACTGTAATTTAAACAATGGGAACTATCAGAGTTTTCTAGTGTGAGAAATTAAGTGACCAAGTTTTCATTTTGAAAGATCTTCTGACATTACTAATCTGGAGGACAGAGATTAGACATGAGAAGGACAGTTAGAAGACTTTAGCAGTAGTTCAAGCAAAAGACGATAAAAATTTAAACAAAGATTATGGTAATGGGAGTGGAATGTAAGAATCAGGTGAAATTTTAAGGCAATAACTCATATAATATGTAAGGGACAGGGAGGAGACAAAATGACTCCCAGATTCCTGACTCAGGTGCCTGGATGGATGCAGTGACTGTTCACAGAAATAAGAACTGTGGGAGGAGGAGCAGGCTTGGGAAGAAAATGAGCTCCTGTTTAAACAGGTGGAATGTGAATTTCTTGTGGGCTGTTGGACATACAGTCGGGAGCTAAGGCAAGAGTTCTTATTTGCATGTATATAATATGTAAGCTGTGGAAAGGATTGCCCTCACTCAGAAAAGGAAAGGGCCAAAGACAGAATCTTGGGGGGAAACACCCATATGTAAGACTTGGCAGAGAAAGAGGAGCTAGGAAGGTGGGGGGAGACACACAAGATGGATCCTATTAATTAATCAATTAATGTGCTCAAGAATACAGCTCAAGTTGGGAGGACCTACACACTACCTTCTGATGCGTGTTTAGGTAGACACATTGGGGTGGGTTCTGTATTAGGAAAATCACAGGGTTCATAAGAGTATCAAAGAAAAGAACGTAAAACATCTCTCACAGTGCCTGGTGCATAGTAGCATGTGGGAAAAGGTGACTGTCACTATTGTAGCAGGCAAGGGTTTGCCAGCACAAACTCAGGTATGCAAGAAATGCAGCATTTCTTTATTCTCTCCAGCAAACTTAAATCTCCATCCCACTAGGTTATTAGAAAATTCAAGCTCATCATGTTTGGGGCTTCCTGGCACTCCCTAGGGTCACACCAGAATCTGGCACTAGACTGTAAAGTTTACAATGGGAGGATCATTGTTTTGTTCACCCCAGTATCTCCAGCAACTAGAACAGTGCCTGGAAAATGGTGAAGAGTCTCTAGTCTTCTGTCTGTTAGGGTCACCATGGATAGCTCCCTGTGCAAGTCTGATGAGCGTGTGAATGTGCATTTCTATGCCATGCTTGGACCCAGGCGAGGCCCAGGTGTCATTACTGAGATAGGCTCCCACTTACCTGGGGGCCCCAGAAAACTATTCCCACCAGGGAGCAGAGCTAGATTTCTGTCACTTCTCCATACCAGAGAATCTTTCCCTCTGCTCCCTCACTGCCATCATATGATCATCTCTTGCCTCTCCTTCCTCAAGGACACGTCAAAGCTCTGTGCAGTGAGTTTAAAGATTGTGAGCAGCTTCTATGCCAGTCCCGTAGGTGCCCTGAGACCAGAGATCACAAAGCATCTGGATATCAGAAAAGGGGAGGGGGCCAGCCCTGTTGCATAGTGGTTAAGTTTACAATGCTCCACTTCACCAGCCTGGGTTCGATTCCTGGGCACAGACCTACACCACTCAGCAGCAGCAGCAGTGACCCACATACAAAAAAATAAATAAATGAGGATTGGTAACAGATGTTAGCTCAGGGTGAATCTTCCTCAGCAAAAATAAATAAATAAATAAAAAAGAACAGTGGAGGAAAATACAGCAAAACACAAACTAACCCCTGATCAAATTATCCTGCCATATGGTTTGTGAACAAAAATGGGTAAGACATCAATCAATCATTAATTAATAACATTGACAGTAACAACACAGATGTGAAGAAGCTGATGGAATGCTACATATGCCTCCTTTCACCCCTAACTCACACAAGCACCAAATTCTTACCCTCCTGTGAACCTGAGAGGGGACAAAGGTGCCTCATTACCCAGGAAATACTGCCTCCAAATCTCATTGGGTAATGTCTATAATGTAGATCTTAGGGCACACTGTAGGCATATTCATTCAGAATCCCAGGAGCCTGTAAATCTGCATTTCAACAAGCTATTCTGGGTAAGTCTCATTTGTTGGCTAAAGCATAGACAGAGAAGAAAAACACATTTGAGGAGAAGTGCTCAGCACTGACAGGGACTTGGACAACAGGAGCAATAACTGGGAGCTACAGGGAGAATGCACTCCAGGCACAACAAGCTGAAGTCCCTAACATGTTCAAAGAGGGATATCTTTTGTGCAATATTGACACCTTATGTTAATAGCTAAGATTTACACAGCATCTTCCTCCTGAAGCTGGAGGAGACCACCAGAACTGAATTACTCACATAGCAAAATGGTTACCAGTACAGGTTCTGGAGCCAGACTCATGTTTAATTCTTACCAAGGACGTTACAGATTATGTCTGAGAATTGGATTTCAGTTATATACTTCATTTTTATTAAAACATAAGTACACAGAATGTGAGACACATACTAAAAGGCAAAAACCAAGCTTTGAAGAGACAGAGTAAGCATCAGAACCACTCTCAGATATGTCAGGGGTGTTGGAATTATCAGACCAGGAATTTAGAACAACTATTATTAATATGTTAAGGGCTCTAATGGATAAAGTAGACAGCATGCAAGAACAGATGGGCAATGTAAACAGAGACATGGAAATCCTAAAAAAGAACCAAAAAGAAATGCTAGAGATGAAAAACACTGTAACAGAAATGAAGAATGCCTTTGATGGACTTAGTATCCTGGGCACGGCTGAGGAGAGAATCTCTGAGCTAGACGGTATCTCAGTAGAATCCTTGAAAACTGAAATGCAAAGAGAACCAAGACTGAAAAAAAAAGAACAGGGGGCCAGCCCCGTGGCATAGCAGTTAAGTGAACGTGCTCTGCTGCTGGCGGCCTGGGTTTGGATCCCAGGCGCCCACCGACGCACTGCTTGTCAGGCCATGCTGTGGCGGCGTCCCACATAAAGTGGAGGAAGATGGGCACAGATGTTAGCCCAGGGCCAGTCTTCCTCAGCAAAAAGAGGAGGATTGGCATGGGTGTTAGCTCAGGGCTGATCTTCCTCACAAAAATAAAAATAAATTAAAAAAAAAAAAAAAGAACAGAAGGTCAGCATCATGGCTGAGTGAGCTGTTCCTGTAGCCTCTCCCCCGCAAGATACAACTAAAAGGACATTCATTAGCCAACAGAGGATACCCACACAGCACAATAGGATCTAAAATAACTATGAACATTTCATTTTAATCACAAACTCACAACAAAAAATGAAATAACTTGTGACAACAATGACTTAGATGAGGAAGAGGAAAGCAATGGAACCTGATTAGGCTAATGGTGATAAGAGGCTACCAGAAAATGGACTCTCTCATCTACGAGACCTTCTATACAAACTGCATGGTAACCACTAAACAAAAAACAAAAAAAAACAGAACAGAGACGCAAATGATAAGTAAAGAAAAAACCATCAAAGAAAATCACCAAACTGAAATGGCAGTCAGAAATACAAGGGAAGAGAAACAAGGGAAATATAGAACAACCAGAAAACAACAGATAAAATGGCAGTGTTAAGCCCCCATATATCAATAATCACTCTAAATGTAAATGGATTGAATTCGCAAGTCAAAAGACACACAATGGATGGCCGGATTGAAAAATGAGACCCAACAATATGCTGCTCCAGGAAACACATCTCAGCTCTACAGACAAACACAGGCTCAGAGTGAAGGGATGGAAGACAATACTCTAAGCAAATGGCAAACAAAAGAAATCAGGTGTTGCCATACTTATATCAGACAAAGTTGACTTCAAGATAAAAAAGACAATGAGAAACAAGGAGGGG